GCTGCTCACGCTCGGGGGGTGCAGCCCAGCACACGGGGGGTTCTGGGCTCAAGCACTCACTGAAGCTGGGTCATGGGGAGCTTCTCATTGACCAACATCCCAAGTCCTTCTCCTCAGGGCTGTTCTCCATCCAGTATTTTGCTTGGGATTGCCCAAGGTATGATCAGGGTAACACATTCCTCTGATGCCTCTGGCCTTTTGGAACAAAGCGCCTTGGGAAGCAATTCCCTCCTTTCACCCCAGATCTCTTTGTGTTGCTTTCACATCTATTAACGGTTCGGGTTTTGGCTCACGGTGTGGTTTTAGGGCACGGCTGCTGTGCTTTCCCAGCATTCCTCCATCCATAGGTACTCACAGACGGGTAATTACGAGCTGGCCATTGCCCTGTCCCGCTGGGTGTTCAAGGAAGAGGGAGTGCTGCGCGTCGGAGCCGTGTCCCACCATCGCGTAGGGGAGCTCACACCTCCCAGTGCCTACACCGTCACCGACCTCGTGGTATGCCTGCCCGCCTGGGAGGGAGCTCAGAATGGGTTGAGGTTCGTTTCCAGGCGCCACTCGTGAACGTCCCCTGTTGCGGGTTTGTTCCAGGAGTACAGCATTGTCATCGAGAAGCTTTCTGATGGCAAGTGGGTCCCCTTTGATGGAGATGACATTCAGCTGGAGTTTGTCCGCATCGATCCCTTTGTGCGGACCTTCCTGAAGAGGAACGGTAGGTTCCCCCAGTGCCCCGGCCCTGCTAGGGGCCCGATCCTACCCCTCACTGCTGCCACCTCAATGTCACCATCACCTCAATGTCACCACTGTCTCTTTCCCAGGTGGCAAATACAGCGTGCGTTTCAAGCTGCCGGACGTCTACGGCGTGTTTCAGTTCAAGGTGGATTATAACCGCCTGGGTTACACCCACCTCTACTCCTCCACCCAGGTGAGCCCAGGGGGGTTTAATCACCCAGTGGGGTGGGTTTATGGGGTGCTGGACTCGAAGGGCTGCTCTGTCCCCTCCCAGGTGTCCGTGCGTCCCCTCCAGCACACGCAGTACGAGACCCTCGGCGTACCCGTACTATGCTGGCGCCTTCTCCATGATGGTCGGTCTCTTCATGTTCAGCATCGTCTTCCTGCACATGAAGGAGAAGGAGAAATCTGACTGAGCTCCCCGTGGAGCGAGAAGAGCTTCTTCTCTGGCGCTGGGCTGCACTCAGGCCCTTTGGTTGTATCCGTGTGAGGACTGGTAGGTGCCAGACATACCCTGGATTTGAATTTGGTCTTATTTTTACACAGAGCAGGGATGAATAGGGAAGAAAATCAAACTGGGGGGGAGGAGAGGATGGAAGTCTGTCCCCGAAGCGCCTGCAGCCCTGAAACCACGACAGTTCCGGCACTGTTCCCTCATGGATTCGTGACCGTTGTCTCGCGCTCCTGTAGGAATGGGTTTGGTTTGAGATTAACTCCCTTTTCCAAAATAAAGTCTTGTTCCTGTCTCCCGGGTGGAAGCTGAGTGAATTCACCACGTGGGGCTCTCGCCATGTCCCCACCTCCCCACGCCAGCTTGGGGTGTCCCTCAGGTGGGCTGTGAGGGAACAGTCGGATGGTGCCCTGGGCTGGAGCGTGCTGAAAGGCAAAATGGGTCTCTGGGGTGCATGGAGGGGCCCAGGGTGTCACTGAAGGCACACCGGGAAAGGCAGGGCACCCCAAGAGCCACATGGTGCCCCAG